TTTTTTTTTTTTTTTTTTGGTGATAAGAAGGATCTCCGGGACAATTTCTGGTTGCCTTTATTTCGAGAACACTTGTAGGCGTATCATTGTTCTAGCCTGCGTGTGGATACCAATTATATATTATGCGAGCATGTATATGCGTGTACTATGCGCGTGTGGGCTTAAATGGGTGCACTTATATCTTGAGTAGGATGCTACCCCGAGGAGATCCTTGAGCTCATGAACGTACCTGGTCTTACAAGAATGCAGGTGGCCAGCCATCTCCAGGTTAGTTTATTGCAGCCTAAACATGATGATTCAAAATTTGCTATGAAAGTGTGTGTGATGATAATTATAGCCCTTGTTTGGGCTCTATTTTCTTCAAAAATGCATTTTTTTCAAAACTCATTTTCATCTGCTCATTCTTCCATAAAATAATATTACACGTACACTCCTTGACCGTTTATGGAACATGGTAAGAATTAACCTAATACTGGTGTTTTGCGACTTTCCAAAGACATGTACTATTAGTATAAAGTCGTGTACGAACTTAAGTCACTCATAAATACAATAACTTATCCACTAAAAAAAGTTACATTAATATTTGGTTTTGCATATTCATGTTTTCATTCCATCAAGTTGATGGATTCATTTAGTCCATGCATATATTAAAAAACTCTAGATTTCTCTTTCTAAATTTTAATGATTTTCTTGTATCATGCTCTTAATGACTCCAGGGTGGGAAAGGAATAAATTGAAAACAGGCAATAACATGTTTATAATTTGATACTTCTTCTCTCTAGATGTTACAAAAGATCTTGACAATTGACACACCTCGTCTTAATATTTCCTTTTTCTTTTCTTAGAAATGTCGTTCTCGGAGTTGGCGACCACCAGAAGAGCGAAAAAGTCACGCTGTTAATAACTTGGCATCGCCCAAGATCGAGGCTACCAAGCCAAGACCAAGAAAATATGGGTCTATGCCTATTTTAACCAAACATTCTGAGCAAAAGAATCTCCAAATCCAAGAAAACACAGAGATAATTCAAGATCCACAAATCTATGATCCAATGAATAATAATAACATTTTGTTAGAAAATTATCCTCAACTTCCTCAGGTTGAACCCCTACAAGATTTAAGTGGATACACATTTGCTCGAGTCAATGTTGCAGCGCCCTACACAGAACTGCCTGGAACTAATTCACAAATAGTGCCTGCAGATGACCTATTTATGTTTGGTTTCAATAGTGTCACCAGTGAAAACTTACAAGCAGATATTGATCAGCTGTATTACCCTGGCCAGGTTAGTCTTAATTCCATCTATATATCTTTGAATATTTCTGGTATCCTCGACTAAACATGACAACAAATAATTATCTATTTTTCTTGTTTATTCATGTTTAACATTCAAAACATGCTTTAAATATAGCACTACTTTGTATTTATACATAGTATTGAACTGTAATAGACAGAAATCGAGTGTGTAACGTATTTTGCAAGAACTTGTATGTATTAATTGCTGATAATGTTTCATTAACTTTTCTCACATATGCATATATGCAGATATCTGTCAACCCTAACATGCCAAGCACTGATAAATGGAGTCTGGTGGCATCAAATGGGCAAATGAGACACAATGCAGATCCAATATGATCATTGATCAGGGAAAGAATAATGATTTCAAAAAGAATAAATATGTAGGATTGAACTTCTGCAAAAAGAAAAGAACAAATATATTATCTTAATCTAAGTAGATAAAAGGTGCAGCTAATCCATCTATGCTCTATATATAGAAAACAAAAATCAATATGCAATGCCATTGTTCTATCTTTTTCTTTAACCTTAATGACAAGTTGGCATTCATCAAGATATATATTTTTACTAAAATTTTAAAGTTTCTCTATATGTTTAGGCGCAATATTGACGTGATACCTTTTCTTTGATAAAGTACATTCAAAAGCTAAGCCCGACATTACCGTCAAGGACATTTACGAGTTCATGAATCATTGTCGACGAACAAAATGATACATATGATTAGCTTGTTCAACACAAATGGTTTACATGTAACTACATGCCTCCATCTCGAGCATACAAAATTTTTGAGTCATATATAAAATAATTCAACCATAGAAATACTATATATATATAACTTGTTGACCCAAAAAAATGAATCAATAGATATTGGGCTCACTCATGCCAAGTTAAGTACGATTCCGACGCGTTCCTTCCGGAATGATGACGGTAGCACGAAGAAGATGGACGCGGGAAATACTTTCCGTCTAGAGACAAAATTGTTCAAACTCCGACGGGTGGAACGAAAGCAATCGCGCTAACAACGATCACCCGATTGAAAGTAAATTAATCTATGTAATAACAAATAAGAATATGTGGAAGGATATATGAAATGTTAATATATTTCTTTCAAGAGTTCAAGTGTATGTCTCAAATATATGATTATACGTTTTTTCCATCAATGATCCAACCTCCCCCCTTAATTACAAAGAGAACCTATTTATAATGCATTGGCTGACGTGGTGACCGTTGGATCGGAACCACGTGGCTTCATCTCCCTAACTAAGACTTCACATCATTGTCTATTCATAAAATTAATACATTGATAAAGGGTCAGCCGCCCTATACAACATGCTGACATACTGACAAACTTTACTACAAGTGTTACATCAATCACTTCTAATAGATCTTCAAATATATTACAAAAGACAGCGTCGGCTTCATGAGTTTCGGACTAGTTTGAGAGCCTCAGAGAGATCTTTTGAGGTAGTTCTCTAAGTGGAGAGCTTCAACTCCTTTTTTTGCTTCTTTAGGCAGTGTGTCAGCAAGCACTTCAGCTTGTAGAGCAAGGACTTCGGTTTTGAAGTCCGCTTCAGCAAGCACTTCGGCTTGTAGAGCAAGGACCTCGATTTTTGACCTCATTGGTCTTTGTTTGACTTTTTTGTTGACTTTCTGCCTACATGGCTTGTGATCACGAGGCACTTTTCTTTGAGTCTCGAAGGTGATGCATAACAATAATCTTCCAAGTCTAGGTATGATTATTTATGTAATGTATGGACTTGAATAAAATTTTTGTAGGGGGTGTATTTCATTTAAAATGTCCCTAACTTGTGCAGACCCTCTGCAGGTGTTGTCCGAGGTGGTTTACTTGGTAATACTTTACCTCCTGGAACAATTCTGGGAAGGGGGTACTTGAGGTAGAGTAATTCTGAAGTTGTAACATCTGAAGTTGTATATATCTGAAGCGCTAGCTGAACTTAAGTTTCTGGATTTAAGTATATTGAAGTGTATGAGCTGAGGCTCTTTAGTACTTTAGTACTTTAGGCAGTTCACTTTGCCTTCCACTTTCCTTCGCATCCTCTCATGGTAAAGCTTTCCTAACAACTTTAGTTGTTAAAGGCACGTGCCACACTTCGTTGAGTACAGATGTGGTCTTCTTTGGGACCTAGCTCCTCGTCGAAGTTCCCGCGTGTCTCTTCATAGGGACAGATTCTCTATGAAGAGGCTTCTCCTATGAGTCTTTCTCATTAGGAGGTTCTTTTATTTTTGATAAGTTTGCATCTCTTTGTAGGGACGGATTATCTATGAAGAGGCTTCCCCTATGAGTCTTTCTCATTAGGAGGTTCTTTTATTTTTAACTTTACATAGTCAATAACTTTTCTGAGCATGAGGTTGAGCGGTTCGCCCATGCTGATGCATCCTTAACAACTTTATTGTTAAGGGCATGTGCCACACTTCACGAGTGCAGATGTGGTCCTCTTTGGGATCCAGCTCCTTGTCGAAAGGATGGATCATCTATGAAGAGGCTTCCCCTATAAGTCTTTCTCATTATGAGGTTCTTTTATTTTTGATGAGTTTGTACAAATTTAATTTCTCAAATTGCGAACTTTGTTTCTTGAATGAAGACTCCAAGATAATACTGCTTCTTTTTTTATTCAAGGAATGAAGACTGTCTCTTCCTTTTTCAAGGAACCAGGACTTCAAGAGATTGCTTCTTCCTTTATTCAAGGATGAATTCCTTACATGCTGAAGCGCTGAAGTATAGGCAATGATGAGGTCATTGCATGCTGAAGTGCTAAAGAATAGGCAAAGATGAGGCCTTTGCATGCTGAATTGTTGAAGCATAAGCAAGGATGAGGCCCTTGTATGCTGAAGTGCTAAAGCATAGGTAAGGATGAGGCCCTTACAAGCTGGAGTGCTGAAGCATAGGCAAGGATGAGGACTTTACGAGCTGAAGTGTTGAAGCATAAGTAAGGACGAGGCCTTTACAAATTAAATTGATGAAGCATAAGCAAGGATGAGGCCCTCGCATGCTGAAGTGCTGAAGCATAGGCAATGATGAGACCCTCTCATGCTGAAATGCTGAAGCATAAGCAATGATGAGGCCCTCGCATGCTAAATTGTTGAAGCATAGGTAAGGATGAGGTCCTTACAAGCTGAAGTGTTGAATCATAGGCAAGGATGATGCCTTTATAAGATGAAGTGTTGAAGCATAGGCAATGATGAAGTCCTTGCATGCTAAATTGCTGAAGCATAGGCAAGGATGAGGCTCCCGCATGCTGAAGTGCTGAAGCATAGGTAAGGATGAGGCCCTTGCATACTGAATTGTTGAAGCATAAGCAAGGATGAGGCCTTTGCATGCTAAAGTGTTGAAGCATAGGTAACGATGATGCCCTTACAAGCTGAAGCGCTAAAGCATAGGTAAGGATGAGGCCCTTGCATGCTAAATTGCTGAAGCATAGGCAATGATGAGGTCCTTGCAAGCTGAAGTGTTTAAGCATAGGTAAGGATGAGGCCCTTATAAGCTAAACTGCTGAAGCATAGGCAAGGATGAGGCCCTCGCATGCTGAAGTGCTGAAATATAGGCAAGGATGAGGCCCTTGCATTTAAAGTAGATGAAATATTTGTATAAAGGCGAAGTCACATAGTTCAAGAATGAGGCCTCTTAATTCATCACATGTGACCACTTCTTTGTAGGTGTCCTTTTCAAGGAGTCTTCCTATTCAAAGGCACTTCAATGGCCTCTCCTTTTCAGGGGTCATCCTCTTTAAAGTCGTTTCTTTAGTGGCCTTGAAGCACTTCTTCATTGGTCTCCCCCCTTTCAGGGGGTCATCCGCTTTAAAGCCACTTCTTCAGTGGCCTCTCCCTTTTAGAGGTCATCCGTTTTTTCAGCGACCTCCTCTTTTCAGGGGGTCATCTTATTTGAAGCCACTTCTTCAGCAATCTTCCCTTTTCAGGGGGTCATCTTATTTAAAGCCACTTCTTCAGCGGCCTCCCCCTTTCAGGGGGTCATCCGCTTCTTTAGTGGCATCTCCCTTTCAGATGGTCATCCGCTTTTTTAGCGGCCTTCCCTTTTCAGGGGGTCATCCTATTTAAGGCGTGTTCGGTCGTACTTAAAATACAATTAAAATTGAAAATATAGCTGCTATTGGGTCCCACTCGTCTAATAAAAGTCAACAATAATGGCTAGTTTTTCAAATTTAATCCGATTTTAATCTCTACCGAACACGCCCTTAAAGCCACTTCTTCAGTGGCCTCTCCCTTTCAGGGGGTCATCTTATTTAATGCCATTTCTTCTCAATTCACTTCCAACTGGCTTTTTCCCACGGGACTCTCGTGGTTAAATGTATGGATTCCCACAGACGGCGCCAATCAGTGGACCCCAAAAAATGAATCAATAGATGTTGGGTCCACTCACGCCAAGTCAAGTACGATTCCAACGCGTTCTTACCGGAATGATGACGATAGCAAGAAGAAGATGGACGCGGGAAGTACTTTGCGGCGAGAGACAAAATTGTTCAAGTTTAGACAGGTGGAACGAAAGCAATCGTGCTAACAACGATCACCCGGTCGAAAGTAAACTAATCTATGTAATAACAAATAAGAATATGTGGAATGATAGATGAAATGTTAATATATTTCTTTCAAGAGTTCAAATGTATGTCTCAAATATATGATTATACGTTTTTTCATCAATGATCCAACCTCCTTCCTTAATTACAAAGAGAACTTATTTATAATGCATTGATCGACGTGGTGACCGTTGGATCAGAATCACGTGGCCTCATCTCCCTAACGTTGAAATCATGACTAGAAAAATTAATGTCCAAATTGTCTAAACTATTAGATATTTATACAATAAATATAATATGTGAAATAAATAATTAAATTAGATAAAGTTCACAATTGGTGAGAAGCGTGAGAGGTCAAGGTTCATTTCACATCCCACGCGATAATTAATAAGTCTTTGAAGGCCCTTGCCTGGGGCTATTTTGATTAAAATAATAATTTTTTATTTATTTTAATCATTTTCGAATTTATTTAATTGGTCAAACTAGTCAATATAATATGACCGTTTTTAAACAACCTAGCTATTAAAATTGTAAATATTTTTGGATCATGGTAGATTCAATTATATTTTCTCGCTATATATATAAACACATAGCTGCTTTTGGGAAAAAAAAACACATAAAAAAACTAAATATATTGTGATTTTTCATACTTGATTTTTTTTTTTAAAAAAAGTTTTCTAGGAGTACATTTGGGAGTTTTGAAAACCTTTTTGTAATTGCTGCACGGTTGATTTGATTGTTATATCCTAGTAGTGATTGTCCAAAGAGATCACAGTAGTTAACGGCGGA